ATAGGAAAAAAAGCCACGTATTCACTTTCTGTTATCGTACCCTGTAACATCTACGTTGTTTTGAAAAGTCTACGGCTATAAAACTACAAATGGCACGTTTGTTTTACGAATTATCACTCTATTTAATGGGTCTTGTTGTTAAATTGTTTGATAGGTTGATGTAAAGGTCTTAGTAACAACGTATCAATTTACAATTTTAAAAACACAGCCAACTTTAATTCCGTATCTTCTCGCAAAGTATAAAAATTTTAATTAATATTACAGTATATGTTGAAAGCACCGTTAATTTTTTAACTAATGAACAAGTGTGTTTGTTATAAATTTTGTCTGTTTTCCCCCAGTGTGGCGTTTCCGCGTGCCTGCATTGATTTTTCTTGTGGAAAAAGTTAACGTCATCAAATTCGCTAATCAATTATTTAAGGTTTAAAGTCAATAGTTTGTAATATTCCCCTAATTAAGAACCGCATCGGTTTGTATCGATGTTCTGTTGGTCGAGCGAGCTCCTGGATTGGTCTTCGTGTCCCAATTAATTCGTAATTCAATAATCCGATGCAAAGGGAGTCCGTAACAGAAACGACGTGGATCTGTGACAACGCCGTTAAATATCGGTCCCTGATCTAACAGGCGAACTGGTTTTTGAGACAATCGAGATAGGGTCAAATTTATAGCCAGCCCGATCCGGCCTGAATGCCAGAAATGGTTAAAACACGTGTACTTACATAGATAACGCCTAATGAACCAATCCGCACAACAAAAAAACAATAAAACCCATCACATTGTGTCAGTGGGAACAGTGGAGAGGCATTAATAAGCCTTTGTATGTTCGATTGTTCGATTCTCAGCCAACACAAAGCACAATTAGACAAATTAAATTTGAAAAATTTATCGCTGCTTAACGACGTATCGGGATGAAGTTCAAAAATGTAATTTATAAATGAGCCGCGTTCAGAAAACCGGAACGCGTTCAATTAAAATTCAAACACGGCTTGCAGTTATTCGTCATTACAAAACAAACAAGAAACACAAAACGGAAAACAAACACAATCCCCCTTTTTTTAATCTCAGAAGAGCTTTCGATTTATTGAAACAGGTGGTCCAAATTGTACAAACTGTGTGTCTGCACCAAAATTCTATGAAAACTACTAGAAGTTCGAAACAAAAGTGAACTATGTCATTTGGTCTTGAAGTAAAAACTGTCCACCGAGACCGAAGATTGAGTTATATAAAAGTACTTCACTGGGGTTTCCAATTTTGTTTAAAAATATGAATTAATTTGACTTCGTTCGAACCAACGTGAAGAGCAAGGCGTTGTTCTACGACACCAATAAAAATCCCGTGGGGTTGAGTCTCTGCGCTTTGGCGTTTACGAAAACTGCAAAATAAAGAGTGAACTTCAGTTTACAGTAAATCGTTGATTTCTAACTGAATTATTTAAATCCACTCTCTAGGTGCTAAAACAAGGGACGAAAGAATTTTTCTGGTCTTGAACAAGCTTACCTTGTACGATGAAACACATTCAGACAAAACAAATTTGAAAAATTTATCTGTGTATAATGACGTATCAGGATGAAATTCAAAAATGTAATTTTAAAACACGATTCGTGTTCAGAAAACCGGAACGCACCCAATTAAAAATTCAAACACCGCTTATAATTAGAGTTACATCATTCCAAAACGGACAAGAGGAACAAAAAAAAACATAATTACGAACGAGGTTTTCAGTCAACTTATGTTTTAACATTAGAGAGGGGTGTGGTTTAGGGTGAACAAACTTTTCTATCGACCTGCCTGAGGCTTTTAAGAAGAAACAGGGAGAGTTTAAATTTTTGCCTCCACCCTCACCACCCGATCCCCGGCGCCCTTTCACCCTCCACTTTCATAAAATCCTGAAATAACTTTCAGTGACACAAAATAAAATGGAATAAGAAAATGAATTGTCGTTTTCACTCTTTCCCTTAATTACATCTCGGGAACTCTTTCCCCCCTTTATATTTCGCAAATTAGTCCGTCCTTACTTGGGCCGTTTAACCCGATTCCGAAATTAAGTGAATGCCTTTTACGATCAAATTACGAAATTGTATTTACGCCCCCGATAGTTTTGTGGAGGTGCGAAAACTTTCGACTCCCCCTAATTAAATCCGGGAGATGCGCTCCGGGCGCCCGGAAATCGAAATAATTCCGCCGGCACATAATTCGCTGCCCCGGTACGACAAAGCTCCATTTGTACTTTTTGCGAAAATCAGTTGCAGAACTGTTTGGATAGGGCTTTATTATTACACAGAAAGACCATCGCTGAAACAAATAAATTTATTTTAAAATGAAATGAGTTCATAGTTTGAAAAAAAATGCACTAATGCGCATGTGCTACTTTATTGTTCGTCAAATTGAAATAACAATATTTTGATCCATAAAAAACTGTTACAGATTCCAAATGTATGAAGTAACGGAAACTCAGATTTTGTTTCATGTTTGAAAATGTCTCATTCCAATTTCCAAGCATATTATTCAGTATCCATAGATAGATATTATTGTAAAGTCTAGAGTTTGTTTCCATTACGAACAAGTTCGAAGTTTTTTTGCATGAATCTGCCACAGAGAATTTCGCATTGTTGCCCATTAAGTGGTAAAGTTTCAGACAAGGTTTTATCTGCAAAATTTGGTTCGTTTCAGTTAGAAAGTAGATCTAACCGATGGTCTGTCTGTCATTCCCCGTTGCTGTGCAAGAGGTTAAACGTTTGAAGGTTATTTGTGTCAGTTTCCACAAACTGCATCGAGTTCTGTCATTTTGATGCAGTGAATTATCGCGTGGAATTGGAAATTGCGTGGTCTTTTGTTTGTTGGGGGAAGGGGGCGAGGGTGGTTGGCCATTATGCAGGAAATTAATTTCAAAAACTTATCCCGTAATTAAATATAAACAAAGTTTCTAGACAGTTAAAATTTAATAATGAATCATTCCAATTCAAGCAGTGTTATTCTTTACTTTCTTGTAAAGTTCTATTGCTAATGAAAGCAGCTCTAGAGAAATGATTAAATTTGGTTTTCTGCTTAAATTAGTTTCGCAACACAGAAGCGACGTGATGTTTCCGTTCGAGAGCGAGAAGGAGGCGAAGGAAGTTCGTCGAGAGGGAGAGAGAGACGGAGAGCGCAAAAAGGGGTAAAGAAAGAATAAAAAGTAAACGAGGGGAATGGATTACACTTGACACTGGCTCAATGATCATTGGAAATACGAGATCGATTAGGGGTGCGCGCCAGTTCCTTCTTTCCCTTTCTGGCCGATTGTTATTTGCATTATTCGTAAATATAGATGCCCTGAAGGAAAATTCGAAATGAATTTCGCGAGGATTTGAATAATCGAATTTGCGTATATAATTTGTTTTATGCGAGTATTTCTTTATTGAAAGGCTCATTTCGGCCCTATTCAGAGACCCCCGCATCGATCCCGATCACAAACGCCCCTTAATCGAATAAATAGTTTTACTACGTCCCTGGCAAAAGTGATTAGCGCGGAACGGATGACTGTTGCAGAGCTACGAGCAAATCTCATCAGCACCTAATCTCTTTATTCGCAGCAATCGCTACGTACACATGATGGTACAAAGCAACCCCCAAACGTACACGTCGTCGTCGCAATTACCACTGTTTCCGCTTCCCTGCCAGATTCGACCTCACTCCTCCATAACACACACCAGAACAACCACGATCACACACACGATGGCGAAATTACGACTGAATCGCGGCTTTAAAACGGACTCGATTAGGGCTGCTCAGGTAGAAGGAGGGCCATGAACGACGACAGGTGCCTGACGAGCCGTCCCTGCGGGGCAAGCACGGCGTCAGGTGGCGGTGACCAAGCCAGAAGGGGCCTAACACCACCTGTTACGCAGGGTTTGCGCCCCGATCTTACAGCCATCTAGGAACGCGATTTCGAACGCTATGGATCATTCCCCTGAAGGGTTACAACTACAATGTATATATCAAGCATTACCTACTTGTATGCAACGGAAGCGAATAACGAGTTCGAGGAGAAATCAGAAAATGACGACGCTGATGCTAATAGCAGACGATTCAGATGCTCATTCGAAAAACTAAACTGCGCTTACAGTGTTCCTTATACTTTTTGCTGCACGTATCCCACTGTCTTTCACAATATAGTCATCACAACATAAAAATTGGGAGTAGAGGAACAGCTACAGAAGAAATTTGGAACAGTCTGCATTTTCAAGTGTTGTAATCATTACATAGAAGCGAAAATCTATAAATGGCATCTGTCAATAAATCTTAGAAAATAAAACAGAAACACATATACAGCTTACATTGATTTGAAAAAAGCTTATGATTGATTCCCGCATTCCCGGTTGTGCAAAATTCTTGAATTGTACATAATCGATCCTAATCAAATAACTCTTTAGGCAGAACTCACCTACCCAGACTATGTCAGAAATGACGTAAAACGCCTGATAGAGAGGACGATATCTATGAAGAAGAAATGTTATTATTCGAAATTTTGTTGTAGTTTTTCTTAAAAAATTACAACGTATGAATACGAGAGCCCGTTTTGTATGAAGATAGCAGTGTATTTTGATCTGAGACAAATAGGTTTGTGGAAGATTTTATTGCGCATTGAACTATTTTTTTTTGTCATTAAAATTGTAACTTTTTAAGTTAAAGTAAAAAAATGAGAGAAACAAATTGCAAGATTTTGTTAGAACCAAGCAACCAAGCATATACAGACTCGATATGATTTTAACATCTCGGGGGTCTAATAAATTTTATTCCGATTCTTGTTCATTCTAACCTCATTTTACATACAGTTTGCTGTAAATATTACTAAAGTCTATTTTTTAATTAAAAAACCACCAACGTCGCAAATTTTTGACACAATAATATCGGAAACAACCGGCAACGTTGTAGATGTTCTGACATGGGGGGATTATTTCGAAGTGATTGACAGGACGCGTTGAAAGGTTAAGAAAAAAATTTTAATAAAATAAATCAAAATATTAAATATTTGATGAACTAGACCCCGGTTGACGAATGGTGTTCATTTCAGGCTCATCAACTTCCATAATGTATTCGTCGTTCTCATCATCGGAAAGGTCGCTCTCGGAATCAGAGTCCGCCAAAGAAATTACAAATGGTGGAATGTTTTCTGGGCTTAAAATGCATATTTTCTTACGCCAATCTGCTTGTATTAGTTTTTCACAGTGGTGAATGCTATGTTGCCACATTTGTGGCGTAAAATGATCCAAAGCTTCAATCCATAAGTGACACGATCCTTGTCATTGGAATTTTCATGGATATGTTTGTTGTAAAATCCTTTACAATGGGCCCATGCCAACTCAATTGGGTTGTACTGGCAATGGTAAGGTGGCAATCGCAACACATCAATGCCTTTTTGTGCCAGTAATGTATCAATTTCATACTTGATCGGGGCATTTACAATGGTTGGTTCAACTAAGGCCCATAACTGTTTCTGCGTCAATTTAAGATCAAAAGTGATATCATATTTGGCCAGATGATCTTGGAGAATAGCTTTCTTTGAAGATTTTATAGGTGGCTTTTTTAGTTTGGTTGAATTTTCTAGCATTATCGAGTATGACTACTATTTTTGAATTATCACTAAATTGGGCCTTCAAACTTGGTACAAGCTGTTCTACTACCCATTGCTTGAATAAAAATGCATTCATAGTCTTGTGATAGTCCCTGTCATTGTTTGAAGAAACGCAAAAATAGGCTACATCCGTTAATGAAGCCTTCTGAACAACCTGCGTGCAACACAATGAACCGCAAACCTTCAAATTTGGGAATTTTGTATTTTTTTTGTGGGCATATTGTCATTGACCCAAGTCTTTAAGTTGTGAACCGTGTTTATAAATCCATGTTTCATCCAAGAATATGAATTTAACATCGGGGTAATCCTGCTTCTATTTGAGATAACTTTTCAGAAATTTTATACGTTTGGCAATTAAATATGGCTTTTCTGTAAGTATCTTCGGATTATTTTCAAATTTATACTTGAAACCCATTGATTTTAGAATTTTGTATAAACAACTTCTTGATCCACGGTATTCCAAATTATTTTTTGCAAAGGCCAGGATTTTGTCCAGGGTAAAGTATTCTCCGGTTTCTTTATAGCGCTGTATTTCCCGACCTAACTCTTCCTTAAAAAAATGATTTTCAAACTCGTCTAATTATTTCCTTCACTTAGAACTTCTAGATGAAATCAGTGTTTCTCTGTCACGGTATGATTTTAAAATTTGCCTTACATTAGATCGAGATACCTAATTTAGAAAGAAAAACCGTGTCAATTATCCTAGAAATATTTATTATGGAAACCAATTTGATACCGAGAAAGTCGCCGCCAAATTTTCATGAAGATTTCGCTCAGATGTATTTGGAGCCAATTCCAAAATAAGATCGGAACATTTTACGAGGGCCATTTTCAACTTAACGTCTAAAAGATTTCGCATTTTTCTTTCCATTTTTTAAAAATTAACAAACTGAATGACACCGTGCAAGTTTTAAACGAAGCGCTGTCAATAAACTGACATGCCAACATAAAATTATAAGTTCCCTACGTAGGGTTTTTCAACGTTGCCAACTGAAAGCAACAGGTGGTGCAACGTTGGTGGTTTTTTAATTAAAAAATAGATAATACTAAGTAATTTTTCATCAACTGCTACATTTTTTTATTCGCCATTATATTATTAATGTGAAACTAAAGAAAAATGCAAACGATGTTACTGTAGCAGAAATCCACAATAAAAAAATGAAAATAAAAACCTAGCTGACTACGGTAGAATTCTTTTGATTTTGGCAAGATGCTGTAAAACTTGTATGTTTCTGTTTCTGTCTTTGTCCGATATACTGTGTTTACGCTGCATACGTTTCCGCCTCTAAAATGTTAAAAAGTGCGGGCATTCGTTATCAGGGTCAGTTGTGCGCCGCGGTCAAAAAAAATCTGCAGGCAGGTGTTTTTAATCTCTGAGAATAGTTGGACGGAAACTACCTGAGAGGCAATGTTTCCGTGGAATAATTTCCTAGAATAATAAAATGCAGTTACATATTTATTATACTGTAAATTACTCGTATTTACTAAGATTCAGAATATTCACATTTTTCTTTCAAGCGGAACTGAAACATTCCTTTTTGTTTCCTTCGATAAATAAATAACAAAACTATAACCAAAAAATCGTCTCTATTTAATCGAGTGTAAGCACGTAATATACCGGGTGTATGGAAAATGGCGGATTAACTCTCTGCTACGCTCTTAAGAATCAACTTTTTCAAGTTTTTAAGATTACGTTCAAAAAGTTTACAGTTAATTTTAGGTCCCCTAGTGTTTTATTTTCGTATAAAAAAGATTTAAAGGAATCTAGTTTTTGTTGCTGGATGAACTTGAAAAAATCGTTTGAACTTTTAGTGTTTTATTTTTTATGAATTTGCAAAAGTCTTGAGTGCCGCAGTGTTTTTTTTTTAATTCGGGAGACTCTTGGGTACCCATGGTGTACTATTTTGGGAGCCCATGGAGATTTCTTTTGTGAATTATTTAAAAGAATTTTGGAGGACTTTGCTGTTCTATTTTTGGAAAATTCTGACCTGAGTTAATTTTGGGAACCCGTTTTAAGGGTGGCGTCTGGTTCGGTTTCGCCCAATACTAAATACATTGAAAACATCGTCGTAGTTTCCGGAATTGCATTTTTAAAATACTGAAATCTCCAACCAAGTCAGAATCTAAGTAAACCTGCATTCTGCTACCGCATCACAGCTCGTTTAATGCCGATTTCTCGTTTCAATAGATTTTGACTTTTCGCGAGTTATTTATCTCAGTCGTGGATTTTTTAATATTATAAATGGTATCAAAAGAAAGCTGACACTTTTCCCCAGGGGACCTCCTATCTCAGAATGTAAAAAACTTCAGCACTTCGTCAAAAAATGCATCAATGTGCCGGTTAAAATGTAATGTAAAAGTTGTTCAACTTTATAATATTTTTTTGTAAAAACTGCATACTAGATATGAATATAAATATGGAGGTCCCCTGGACTGAAGTTTGTTAATTCGAAATATAATTTTTTTAAAGCGATATATCTCATATTTTTAAAATGCAACTCCGGAAACCGCGACGATGTTTTCAATGTATTTAGTATAGGGCTAAACCGAACCAGACGCCAGCCTTAAAACAATTTTCAAGTTCTAGGTATTCCCTGTTTGGAAAGAATTCGAAAGTGCTTTGGAGCCTCTGGTGTCTTTCTTATAATAATTTAATTAAATTTCTTAAAGGATACGTCACTGGCTAAAAGCAGTCTTATCTCCGCCCGTCCTCTATTTTCTTAAAGTGTATGTCATTTGCCAAAATCAGTCTTAACCGGTAATACCCCCGCCCACCCGCCGCCCTCTCTTTTCTTAGAAAGTATGTCATTTGGCAAAATTCGTCTTATTTTAGCAGGTACTAACCCCGCCCAGCCGCCCTCTATTTTCTTGCAGGAATCTCATTGCCAAAATCAGTCTTATCGTAGCAGGTACTAGCCTCGCCCACCCACCCTCTCTTTTTTTAGACAGTATGTCATCTGCCAAAATTCGGTTTTTCTTAACAGTTACTAGCCCCGCCCACCCACCCTCTCTTTTCTTAGAAAGTGTGTCATATAGCAAAATTCGTCTTATTTTAGCAGGTACTAACCCCGCCCACCCGCCCTCTATTTTCTTACAGGGATCTCATTTGCCAAAATCAGTCTTATCGTAGCAGGTACTAGCCCCGCCCACCCACCCTCTCTTTTCTTAGCGGGTGTGTGATTTGCCAAAATCACTGTTATCTTAGCAAGTACTGATGGCTAACTTTTACAAAAAATGATCAAAATTTACATTACGAACTTACTTATAGGCACAAGGCAGGAATTTTGAACATCTCTAGTGTTTAGTTTGTCATACTTTAATGGATTTTTCTTTTGTTGATTTTGTTTTTGTTTATAATTTATAAATGTGTTATTAAATGTTTTTTTGGTTATTTATTAATGAAAAATAACAGCTTGTTGTATTAATAAAAATAATGGACAACGATTAATGTTTGTTGTCCTTAAAAAAAATTAAAGGTGGATTTCGGTCACCATCGTTACTAAGAAATCAAAAAGTAAATCGGAGGTATCACAGATTACGTGCGTGCAGTGTTGCCAATTTTACTTATTTATAAAATGACGTTTCGTAGTCTACATCATAAAGAATTTTTTAATTATTTTTTTGGCGCTCCTCAAACCCCCGTACATACGTACTGAAGAGTTAATTCTCCATTTTCCAGACGCCCGGTATAACCCGCCTTTCTCAATGTAACCCGTTGGGTCGATAGCTTATTTATCTTATTCCATTTTAACGAAATATCACATTAATAAAACAAAATTTTTAATATCAGTATTTTAGTAAATATTTACGCTCTGAAATCCTCTTGAGTAATACTTTCTTTGACGAATGTCTGTCTAATTTCGTGTTTTCTGAGCCCATTGAACATGAAAACGTAAATTTCTCGTTTCTGTTTGCCTGTCTGTAGTCTATTGGGGATTTTATTACACAATCTTCGAAATAAACGAACGATGTGTTTTAAATTTGGGTTATGCTCACAGATTATCGTATAAAATAAAACGGCACCAAAATATTATACTTATTCATTTCACTTAAACGATTGATCGAATTTCCCTCGCTCCTGAAATACAAGTCTAATAAATCCCCCCTTCTTTGAAAAATTATAAAATTAGATTTTGCGATATTTGTTTTGTGAAAAAATGGCATCTCAGCAATAATAACAACCTTTAACTTCAAGTGTGTGTTCATACATGGAAAGAATGTCACATAGAAATTTGATTTGAATGAGTTTGTCACAACAAAGCAGAGGGTTAAAATTATTATGTCGAACATAAATGTTTTGAATATTATTATAATATACTAAATACTTACATATTAAATAAAGACGTACGTATTCTCACCTTTTCGAGAATATGGGGTGACTATTTCTTAATTTGATCAATAAAAAATTTGTTATGACATCATCAGTTGTTAATTTTTTATTGATCATTTGGCCGTTTAGGGAAAAATACAGACCCACTATGATTTGACATCTCGGCGTTTCTAAACTTATTCCGATTCTTGTTCATTTCAACCTTATTTTACATACAGTTTGTTGTAGATATTTCTACAAAGTAATTTTTCATCAACTGTGAAAAAAATACAAACGATGTTATTGTAGCAGAAATCTACAATGCATACGTTTCCGCCCCTAACATGATAAAAGGTGCGGGCATTCGTTACCAGGGTCAGTTGCGCGCCGCGGTCCTAATCCTAATCTCTCAGAATAGATACTACCTGAGAGGCAATGTTTCCGTGCAACAGTTCCCTATAAAATGCAGTTACACATTTTTCTTTCAAGCCGAAACTAGCCATTCTTTTTTGTTTCCTTCGATAAATAAATAACAAAACTATAAACAAAAAATCGCGCCTATTTAATCGAGTGTAAGCACGTAATATAACCCGCCTTTCTCTATGTAACCCGTTGGGTCGATAGCTTGACCCCCACCAAAACGTTCCAAATCAAATAACTATAAATCGCAAAGTCCGTCCAGAACTGATGGGCATTCTTTTGATTTACCTGACAGCTATGAACGAAATTTCATTTCTCGGCGAAACGACGTCGTAAAGGAACCAACAAAGAATTTCGCGGGGATCAAAGGGCACGAATGCCCTACCGCCCGAACACACTAAGAGGGGAAATATTTCAAATGCGATTTGTTGGATTTTGATGGAATCGGATGGACACCGAACAGGATGGGCCAAATGAAAATCGACAAACCAGTTTTTGGCAAGTCGGAGTAATGAGTTTTGTTATTTTTCTTCCAAAGTTGAAGAAATAGATTCCGGAGATTTGGCGTATTTCAGTTTTCTACTATAATGTTGGATTTACATTTCAAATCGTGAGTTATTGCAATGCAGTTTAGAAATGTAACTGGATATTTTCCAGATATCCAATATTCAAGTAATCTAGTTTGTATTGTAGTACGAATATGAAGCGCATAAATAACAGGGCATTTGATATTCGTCTTTAGAAATTACATTCTATTGGCCTTAGTAATTACGAATTAATAGATGTCGTGAGTTATAATTTGTAATATTAATGATAAGTGAGGTAACTGTAGAAATACAACGTTCTAGGGTAATTTCAAACAAGATCTTATCTGTAGACATATACTTATATATCTTAATATTCGTAAAGGTCATAAAATTCATCCTCTCCAATAAATTGATGACCTCATACAAGTTCGCTTGAAATATGTAAAATTTCTCTCCTTATTTTATTTTGCTAAAACACAAACACTGATTTAGTCAGATTACATACAGTCAACTAAAAAGTGGCGTGCAACAAGTATTTACTTATTTATTGCCATTAAAATTGGATGTATTGATCGTTTAAGGTTTAGTTAGTGTTTAATTCGAGTTTCTCTGTTACAACTTTGTTGACGTTTATTTCAAGAAATGACACATCAGTGTTATTCATATTCGTGTGACACGTCGTATCTCGGGTGTCTCTTGCATGATTTTTCTCCGCAAAGACCGCTAATATTTAACCAAGCCCACTGTTCAAAAAGAACTATTTTTAGACATTTTTTTTTATCGTAAGAAAACTTTCCGAGCCCATCGATGCACCCTCCCTCTGCTTGGCATTCTGACGCATCACTTTGATTCCCCGTCGCCACAAAACGTCCATACCTGCGCAGATGGCCTCATCAACTGACCACGTCGCTACAATTAATGAACCAACAAATTGCTATTTGAATTGATTTTAATTATCGTCAGCCCTACGTCCCCACCCGTCGGTCGTTCATCCCTTTTTCTCATTTTTAACGAAGCCGATCCTGCTTTAGCTCACCGCACGTTATTAGATAAAATAACAATGCATCGAATCCGATAACGAGATTTCCTGCTGCTTCTTTTCCGCCGGAAAATTTGCCAAATCGATGTTCTTGCAGTGGCAACGATAAATAACAAATTGGCCGCCCACGACCACTCGAAGAAAGCTTGAGTTAAACAGCTTCCATGGTGGCCACGTCATATAAAGCTCGTGCTTGTGTTTTGTGTCTCGGCTTTTTTGCAACAAATCATGTCGATGTTGCATACCGGACCGATAACCGCGTCAATTTCGGAAACCAGACGATATTCCCTATAAAAATTCATGACTGTACATTGTACAGCTTCTGCTAATTTAATGAAATATGACTGCGCACTTTTTTAATTAAATTTTATGGCCCGGGAAAGGGGACATAATCCATTTGACCGGCTCGTAAATGTCATACGGAAAAAAATACTTCCCAGATTGTTATTAATAGATATTAAATTACTGACACCATGGATCAATAATAAAAGTCCACCCTTTCGATGATCAAATTTACTTTTTATTGGGGTGTTCCATGTAGGCGGGTCATTTGAGGGCCGAATTAGCCTTATATTACGCTAATTGGTGCCCAAATTCATTATGTGGTAATGTGTACACCGTCGTGTTCTTATATTCCAAGGACATATGTTTGAATATATTTTATCGAAATTCCTTTTCTTCATCTTTCTACTAACATCATTTTCTTTAATTACACCGTGCTCAGTTACCACGACTTCTGTGAAATTTTACTTTATGTTCGTTGTTTTTTGTGTATTGATTATTCTTTATAACTTTCTGTCTGTCTAAGCACTTCGAGATTCCTTTAGTTTCAGTTGAATTATTAATATCGCTTATTAATTTTTAATTTCAGAGCTGTTTTCGAGCTCTGCATTATATTATATTATTTTGGTTTGGCTTCCTCGTTATTACGAAGTACATTTAAGTATGATATTCAACACCGATGTTTTACTCCTCCTTCGGCAAATATAACTTCAATTTTTAATTTATTTTATTCCATTTGACGAAATATCACATTAATAAAACAAAATTTTTAATATCAGTATTTTAGTAAATATTTACGCTCTGAAATCCTCTTGAGTAATACTCTCTTTGACGAATGTCTGTCTAATTTCGTGTTTTCTGAGCCCATTGAACATGAAAACGTAAATTTGTCGTTTCTGTTTGCCTGTCTGGAGTCTATTGGGGATTTTATTAGACAATCTTCGAAATAACCGAACGATCTGTTTAAATTTGGGTTATCGCATGAAATAAAACGCCACCAAAAGATTATACTTACTGATTGCACTTAAAAAACTGGTCGAGGTTTATTTCGACAGAACTTCCCTCAGTCCTGAAATATAAGTCCAACAAATCCTGTTTCTTTGCAAAATTATAAAATTAAATTTTGCGATGTTTGTATTAGGATAACTTCTATAAAGTAAAAACCAGCGGCATAGATAACACTCCCGCAGCCCCTGCACTGCGGGAAAAAATGTATCCTCAGTGACTTAACTTCATTGGTTTATGTTTATAATTCGAAAGAATTCGATTATTAGCATGTTCAGATAACAAGCATCAGCAGCGACATTTGTGTTAAAAGAAAATGAAATTTGACTGATTTTATCCCCTCTAAACAGAGCAGAGGAGAGGATTATTTAATTAGTTAAAGAGAACTATTTAATTAATTAACCTACAATGAAGCAAAACGTTCAGAATATTATTTTGAGTGAGTACTTACGAGTATTATGAGAATTTGGTTTTAGAATTCGAAATTTAAATAATTGTAAAATGTTGTTATATAGTTTTCAAATCTTAACCAAAAATCTGGATGCCTAGAGTAAAAACTCAATACGGAATCATAAATTACAGATGACGTCGTCATTTTTTGAGGAAACCATAAAGGAATCAATTTTGATTAACAATTTACCATGCTTACGATAACCTTAGCACGTTCACAAGATTTCAGAATATACGGTATTGCAGTTTCAAAGTTAAATTGTAAAACATTTTTATACAATTTAGATTTTTTTCCTAAAAATTTGGATGTCTGTGGTAAACACAAAACGGATTCATAAATCACACATGCAGGAGTTTGTTTTTTTAAAAAATTTAAAAAAACATTAATTCGACAAAATTGTAAATTTTTGTTGATGGGGATGATTAGACAAATTTTGGTTAGCGTTTTGCAATCTACACGATATTCCCAACATATAAACCTTGACAACAATCGGTCTAGTAGTTTTTGGGATTCTCTGTCTAATAAAAATTACCACAGATAAACAACCTGACAAACGGAAGCGCGGGACCTATTTTTTCGTATTCTAGGGATCATTAAATGTCAAGAAAATATTAAAGTAGCTATTCGTCGGATCGACTCTATTACAAGTACTTCTCTAGCTTACAGTCGCGAAGTAAAAAAAAGTAGAAAGTTCCAGATACAGGAAGCTCAGTTTCTTAGATAAATTATAAAATTTGATTATGTGAATTTTGTTTATTTCTGATGAAATTTGAATAAGCATTTTAGGATAAATAAATTTACAACAATTTATCCAGTAGTTTCGAGCTACTTTTTCATGCGAAAACTTTTACGAAAAGTCGAGAAAACATGAAATTAGCCATTTGTCGAATGAGCCGGATAAACAAAATACATAAACGGTGAACCAATTGAAAATAATAAATATAATCGTTGGAATAAAACTACGCGGTCTAATTTTTTTATTTTCATAATATGCTTAGGACTTGGATTTTTAACTTTAGTTTTTCCAGTGAAAGTAGAAAATTTCAGGAATTAATTGTAAAATGTTGTTATATAGTTTTTAACGTACATTGCAAGGGATTGTGCAAACTTGTAATATATTTAAAGCAGATAACCCAATGGAAAAAATTGCCTCTCAGCTATAATAACAAACTCTATCTTCAAGTGTTTGTTTATATATACATCGGAAGAATTAATTAATTAAGCACAATCGAACAAAATGTTCTGAATATTATTACTATAATTAATACTAAATACATATTAAATAAAGACGTGCGTATTCTTACCTTTTAGAGAAAAAGAAAAATTTTTAATTGTTTTGTGAATATTTGACTGTTTAGGGAAAAACTTAAAGCGGATTCGTATTTTATATTGTATAACATTTAAATCATTTTAAAATAGAATCGGTCCAGTAGTTTCGGAGATTACGTGTCGATTTAAAATCGACACAAACGCCAGACAGACAGACAGACAAACAAACGGACGGAACTCTACTCTAGGGGTCAAGAAAAGTCGCGAAAACATAAAAGTGCCCATTCGTCCGAAGGACTTAGATTTCCTTAGCTTAAGCTCAGGAAGTAAAAACAGGTAATTAAATTAAGTGATCTTAAATGTCCTTTATTTGTGATTTAACAGTCGCCTTTATTATTAACTTAGCGTCAGGTTTGTACCCCCATGACATAAGGCTTGGAGGAGTGTGCTTTACAATTCATCTTTGTATTGTGGTAAGTCATTAACAGTGTTTCTGAGATTATATTTATT